ACGGCTCTCCAGCATCCCTCCTCAGCTCAGTAGCCAGAGGAATTTAGGGATTTCTAGGTATGTATTTCATTTTCAAATCCATGTTTCAGATAGATAGATAGATACATAGATAGATAGATATAGATAGATAGATAGATAGATACAAATCACACAAAAGGAGCAGCCCAGAGGCTGCAGGACCACAAGCCATGGTCTCCCAACCCACTGGGGAGATGGTCAGGGAGAACTGCCTGGAGGAAGTACCATGTGAGTTGGGTTTTGAGGGGTGAGTAGGAGTCAGCCAGACAAAGGCTGGAGCGGAAGAGGGTTTCTGGCAGGAGAAACAGTCTGCTCACCTGGCAGTGAACCGACAGGCTTGGTGGCTGGTGATGACAGAGTCCATAGGAACGATGTGCAGGCTGGGTGTGGCTCACGCCAGTCCATGTGGGGTTAAGTAAGAACTCGTCCCAGCGGGTACTTGGAGCAGTGAAGGGGCATTTTGGGGACAGACTATTGGCAGAGAGCCTCGGCGTGGCTCTGGCCATCAGCTGCATGGACAAAACCCAGAAGGTTTGCTCATGCTCTCGGAGTGCACAGGACCCTTTCCTGTGCCTGCTGCTCATCTGGGGACCCTTGCTGCGGTCTTGTGGGTGATCTCCTCTGTTCGGTTCCTATCACAGTGACCCTGAAAGGTGGACCCATCTCCGAAAGAAATAGGACAACAAATGACAACAGACCCTGGGCATTTGACGAGTTGTGGCCATGAATATCCTCTACGGTTAACCCTTTGCAATTTCTAGCTTTGGGGGACCCTGGAAAAACAGCTCCCGAGGGCAGGAGTGGGCTGTCTTGCTCACGGCTGTGCCCCCTCACACAGTGTGTGACACATAGCACGTGCTCAATAGTTGACGAAGATACGCTCGGCACAGACAGAACCGGGCACCGTGAGGCTGGAGATCCCCTCACCAGCCACACGATGGACCACCTCACCTCAACACAGCTCTGTTCTCAACTGTCTACTCTCGGCTGCAAAGGAGCTCAGGACATGATTTAAAGGTAAAACAAAACAACAAAAAAACCCAGTGTTTGGAAACACAAATATCCCCCTAGGGAAGTATACAGATGTCTGCCATTTACTCTGAAATGTGTCCAAATAAGAGAATGGGTTGACAGGTTGAGAGAGGGGCGGATAGATGGATGGGCCAGGACAAGCACAGGAAAAGGACCGCGATAGCAGCCAGCACTGAATGGCTGTGCGTCTGCCACAGCGAAGTTGACCTGTTGGTGTTTGGAAATTTTTCATAATAAAGTGTCAGGGGAAAGTGACCTTGGGTTAAAAGGCCAACTGACTTTTGGATTTGGAGAATGAGGTGGGGGAGGCAAAGCAAGAGGCAGAGGTTGGGATGACCCAAGCAGGGGGTGCCAGTTTGGTAGCACCCCGCTTTCGTGATGTGGACAAGGTGTACGTCCAAGGACACGGGGTTCCTTCAAGTGGTTTGGGGGGGGTGGTGCATGGTGCTCCAGAATCTGCTGATCCAGGGAGGGAGAGACTCCAGTGAAGGGAGAGGGTAGCTTGTCCCCAGCCGAGGCCTGGCCCTGGAGGGGCCAGGGTCTTGATGGGAATCCGAATGAGGACGTTGGTTGGATCAGCTGGGGTGGGGGTGGGGGGGTGAGGCAGGGGGCTGGTGTAGATGGTGTCCTCACGTGCCAGGACGTAGCCTTTGCAAAGGTTCAGGATTTACGGGACAGCAAAAGGCCTCGCAAGATCGGGTCTGGGTCAGCCTGGGTGCCTGGCCCCCACCTCACCAGCTGTGTGAACTTGGGCACGTATATATATATACACACACACATATATATATTGACATTGAGGATAGAGTGTAGCATGCACTTGAGAGGCTCTCCAGGGTCACATGGGATGAGGTCACCACCCTGAGCATCCAGTTTGGACCCGAGCTGCCCACCAAGGCCTCTGGCCACACTCAGTGGCACGGTCCCTCCCCTCTTCCCTGGAGGGGGCTGCACTGAGTCCCCGGAAGCAGGGAAAGTACTATCAGCTGATTGCCAATGTGCTGAACTCCGCCCCATCAGCCGGCAGACAGCAGCACGTGGCCATTTTTGAAATCAAGCTGAAAAGACCAAGTCCGCCCGTGACTTCCAGGATACAAACTGTCACAAACTGTCTGACTTCTGGGAGACAAACTCTTATCAGAGCTTTGTCTTCCTGGGATGGGGGCTTGCGCAAGATCTCGGCCAATGGGGCAGGCCGGTGAGCTCCAGGGCAATCACCCAGGCAGGCGGCCTGCCTCTTCTGGTCCAGGTAATAAGTCAAGGCCAAAGTGCTTCCTTTAAAAAACACTTTATTCCACACATCTCCTGGCGGGATCCCCCACCCACTGCACCTGGGGAGCAGCTCCTTATGGACCTGCCTTTCCCTCCAAAACCAAGGGAGCCTCCCGCACACGGAAACATTCAGTTCCCGAGTCAGCGTGGAGTCCCACGCCCTCCCCGAATCGGCCCCAGGATGGGACAACAGATAATTCCTCTTCCTCCCATCCCTCACTGCCCCCATGACACCTTCATGTGCCAGGTCCATCACTGGCTGATGGCCAAACTCTGTTTTTTTTTTTCCACTCAGGCAGTGGAAGCATCCGGGCTGGTGGGGGGCTTCCCTGGGCAGCCTCGTCGGTCTCTGAACCGGCAAGGTTCCTCAGACAAACTTCCTATCCCAGCAGTGGGGGGGGGGGGGGGGGGGGGGCAACTGCCCCCATCACCGGCACCCAAGAACTGATGGACGGGGCCGGGAGGAGGATAGCAGGCCCCCGATGCCCTGCGGCCTCCAGAACCCAGTGCTGGAGGGCAGGTCGCAGGGGCCTCCCTGAGCAAATTGGTGTGGCCCTCCTGGTCCAGTCCTTGCAAACCAACAGCTCTGCCCCTTGGGGCCAGATCCCTGCACAGACATCAAGGCACCAGGTGAGGGGGTGCCGGCAGAGGGGGCCTTCGAGGTGAGTAGTGGCAATCCCCGCAGTGACACTCATGAGCCAGCTGGGCTGTGAGCCCGGTGACCGTCTGCCTTCTGCCTTCGTGTTCCCAACCCGGCCACGAGGCTGCACACAGGGGACCGGGGGGGCTGTCCTTGTCCTCCTCCCAGGGAAGGGGCCGGCTGGGAGGGCTGGGAGCCACACGGAAGCTGTCTTCAAAGGTCCTGAAATGTGCGGCCAAACAGTTCTGCCCATTTGCTTTCCGTCTTTCGAAAACAGAATCAGCACGGCCTTACCAGCGAGACGTTCCTGGCGCCCCTCTAGGGGCCACGTGGGGAACAACATACCGTTTTATTCTCTTCAAAAACCATTCATGCCCTTTCCCAGGTGACTTGACAGTTTCCAAATAAGCATCATGACAAAAACCAGGCTGTTTCTGCGCTTCCTTCCTCGGCCGACTTACTCTGCCGAACTATGTAAGACGCTTACAATCAGGAGTTGGTCTCAGAGTAGAAAGATACAAAGATTCTGTGATCTGATATAAAATGAGCCCAAGAGAACACCTGGAGCCCGCATACCAGGCACTGGAAAGCAAAAGGAAACTGGGGGGTTTGGGTTCAATGTGATTCAGGGATGCAGCAAAAAAAAAAA